TATTCAAGCAGTTCATACAGGTTCAGAAAAAAGAGTTACTGGTATTTTTGAAGGTCATGAAGAACAAATACTTCATTTAAAATTTGACATTGGATTATTACTAAGACTAATTTTATGTTTATCTAGATCACTTAATTATGACGGAGATAAAAGAGTTTGTTAATTCTTTAATAATAAATACCATAGTAAATAAAAGAATTAACGTTAAAGATAAGTATTATTATTAAATGTCTCAATAAAATAATTAGAGAAAAAAATGAAATTGATAGCGTTGCATTGCAAGTATTTAATTCAGTAAAATTAGAAATAAAACAAAATATTAAAAAGTCTCAACTTCAAAATACTGAAACAACTTTACAATTATTAAACTCTCTTGAAGAATTAATAACCTCAATGCATATAAAAGAAATACCAAAACATATTGATGGTTTTTGGGTTGAAGTTGATCACATTCCAGTTAATGCACGAATAGATATTGTAATTGGACTATTTAAAAAAATTGGAATGATAATGAATGATGTCAAAATAATTAATGGAAAATGTAGAATTCAATATAAAAGTCTTAATGATGCATTAAACGCATGTAAATTAGATAACAGACCAATTAAAAATACAACATCTATTTTATCTGTACGTCTTTTACAATAATTCAATATTTTTAGTTTTTTTATAACTTTAATTTGTTTATTCATAGTAATTAATTAGAACTAACTGACATACTCTCTTTATTCTTTTGCTCATTCTAGAAAAGCTAATTAACTATTAAATACTTTTATTAATAAATTTACTGAAAATTAAAATAAGATTTTGTTCTATTTGAAATAACTAAATCATACAATTATTTAATAAAAAATATGTTAAGTTTAAACTAACCCAATTTATTAACTTACTTATCAATATAAAAATTCTTTTGTTTGTAAATAACAAAGATATAATATTAACCGAAAAAAAAAAAATCACAATCACTATAATAAAACAATTATTTTTTTTAAATATGAAAGATTTAATGAGACTAAGTGTTAATGTTATAACAAAGATAATCTTAATAGATAAAGAAAAAAAAATAATAACAGAAAATATAAGAATATATTCACAAGAAATTAATATTACTAGTTTTCTTTTATTAAGTTTTTTATTGTTAAACATAAGAAAAACAATAAATCAATCATAGAAACTAACAAAATTATTTCAACAGTGGAAGGTGGGTGGTGCAATCAATTTTTGAAATAATAAATTATTTGCTATTACTTGAAAGTGTTGATATTTTTGAAAAGAACCTACCAAAAGCACAATCAACAATTCTATAAACAATTTCTTTTTCTTTTTCTATCTTAGTTAAAGGGATATCGTTTACTTCATTATTAATTGAACTTGTAATAGTTTTCTTATTATTATCTCGATGTTGGAAGATAAAATCAATAAGTAAAGGATCTAAAATTTTACCAGATATATCAGGAAACATTAAAGAACTTATTTGCTGAAAATGAAATAAAACAGGCATTTCACGTTTAGTATTTAAATCTTCAAACTCATTTCTAAATTTTTGATTAATTCGTTGACCAATTAAACTTATATCCTTCCAAGTTTGATAATCAACACCAAAACCAGAAATTGACTTTATTCTTTTCATTTTAATAACATAGTGTGTCGCTCTAGTACTCTTGAGTGATGCATTATAACCAATGCTTTTAAGCATTTCATATAAGAAGTTATTTGTTGCTGAGACAAGATTTCTTTTTCGATATTTTGTTTTACGAGAATCAGTAATACTGGTAATGGTCTTTTCAGCTTCATTAATTTCGTTATGAATTAATTCAGAAAATTTAAATCGTTGTTGGCCAATATGAATTTCATCTATTGTTATAAACAAGGCTGCTAAACTCTTTGAATTTTTTTGTTTAATTTTCCTTGGTTTAAGTAAAACAAAATTAACTCCGTGTCGCATTAGTAATGCCATGCAAAGTGATTCTTGTTCTCCTTCATACGATGTTGATATTCGTTTCGCTTGAGCATAATTATCTTTGAGTTTTTGGTTGAAATCCCAATTACTCATTATGAACTGAAAAAAGCTGAGTTCTTTGAGTTTTGTTTTTTTTCAAATCATTTAAAATTACCTCAAATTAATAGAAAAAGGTAGTTAGAATTATTTCAAGAAAAAAGTTTAAAAAAGAAATAAAGAAAGAATGAAATAGAGAGAATAATAAATAAATCCAACAAAGAAGATTAAAAAAATATTTTTAAAAACAAATAGAAAATAAAATAATAATAAAAGTATTTCTAAAAAAATAAAAAACCCATAAACAATTTTACTAAAAGGTCAAATCTGATTTAATCAAGTTTTTGGAATCCAATTTCAACTGCTTTTTCTCTAAAGCATCTTCTACATAAATCAAGTCCATATTTTCTAATAAGACCCTTACGAGCTCCACATTTTCTGCAAGTTCTTGATCCATTTCCATAATTTCTAGGATGGGCATTATAAATTGAGTAGCTTCCCATTGCTATTGACCTTTTATTAATTATTTTAAGTTTTCTTTAAAACTATCAACCCTTTTTTACTATTTTTTATTAATAAGAAATTAATATTTTACTATAAATTATTTGATAAATCAAATGAAAGAAAAAAAATAACAAAGAAAGAAACACAATCAATTAAATGTAATAAGAAGACCATTAATAATAATGTGGTTCAAATTTATCACAAATAACAGAATTAAAATACCGTTGTGCTTTTAATGAAAGTGGTTGATTTGTTTCATATAATTCATTTGTAAATTGTGTAGTAAAGTTCTTTGCAATAGATTTGAACCTATCTCTATCTTGAATCTTACCATTATCATAAAATGGTTGTAAACAATTAACAACAAATTTTGATACAACACTTTTTAAGGTTATATATTCAGGTGGTGGATGTTGTTCTCTTATTCGTTGTTCTTTCTTTCTATTTGCGTATAATCCAATTAATGGATCATATGCAGTATCTCCTTCTGCATATCCATATAATCTTTCGAATTTATAAGATACTCCTGAGCTTTGATGTTCTTGACTTCTTTTTAATTCAATATTAGAATTTTCAGGAATAATTACTGATTGATGTTGTTGGATTTGAATTGGTTGATTTAAAACCATTCCATTATTTGTTATTGGTTGCAATGTTTGATTTATTGGTTGAATATAAGATGTATTTCCATCAAATGGTTGGTTTGTCATATAATTATTTTGTGGATTATTTTGTGTGTTTTGGATATAATTTTGTTGTGAAACACTAGTTGATTGTTTAGAATTTGTAAGATTCATTATAGTAGAACTTAAAGTATTTTGAGAAGGAATAGAAAGACTAGACTGATATGGTTGTGGAAGAGAATGAGTAGTTATTTCAGTGACTTCTTGTTTAATAATTGGTTGTTCATTAATTGATTGTACAATAGATTCAGAAATAACAGGTGGAGGGGGTAAAGGTTTGTTATTATTTGGTTCTTCTTTTAATCTTTTTGATAATTTTTTAATATCAACAACATCTTCACTTTCATCTATCTCTTTTTTTTCGTTAATTTTTTTTTGATGAGTAATTTTGCTTTTGTCTTTTGTTTGACGTGGTTTTCTTGGTGAGGGTTTTGATATCTCTTCTTCTTCTTCTGACTCTACTGAAACTAAATTTTTTCGTGTTGTTTTCTTCTTTGGCTTTCTTTCTTTATTCTCTTTTTTAATTTCTACTTCAAATTCTTGTCGTTGATTTTCATGATTTGCTTGACGACGAGTAGTCCTTTTTGTTACTGGTTCTTCTATGTGTTCTGGTTTTTCTTCTTCAGTGACACTGTCACTTATATTTTCTACAACTTCAGTCTCTGTATCGCTGCTCATATATCTCTTTTTCTAGTTCTTCTTTTTTCTTTTTTTTTCACCCTTTTTTCTCCTTTCTAGCTTTTTTAAAAAAGAAAATAAAATATATCATAATATATAACACAAATTCAATATCAAACTTCTATCGGTATTGCTAATGGCTTTTGATGATCATAGAACTTGCTCTTATTTGTTACTGCAAAGTCATTTCTAAAATCATTTGCAAAATTGGTTAATGTTATGTATTCATTGGTTTTTATCCAAATAGTAATTCTCGCTTGACTTCTCATAGAAAATGAAACACCATTAACAAATTGGTGTTGACTAAAAATTTCACCAATACAATAACACAACTAAATCATTAAAACATTTACACTCTATTATTATCTTATCAACCAATAAATTAAAAACCACCTGGAAATAACAAACTAATTTACACCAAATTTGTTCAACTAATTCTGTTTGTTCTTGTGTTTTAAGATCAAACGAAAAAACAAGTCTACCACCATTTTTATTTTCATCATCACTTTGACATGGTCTGATTTTATCTCGGAAAAAATGTGAATCACTTCCTTTTAATACTGAAGTGATATTTGGAAAATCCTCATAAAATCCCCAGAAATTTTCTATTGTGCAAATGGTTTGTATTTGTTCTCCAAAGGTTGTAATACTAGTTGATCTATCTGAACTTTTTCCTGACTCAAACCAAAAAATCCATGGATTAGACAATGGATGTGTTATAGCCATAGGGTTGTATTTTATAAACTTCTATATTTCCTTTTTTCTTTTTCTGTTGAATTTCTTTTTTAACCCTAATTTAGGGTTTTTTATTGATTATATTTAAGGAAATTATAAAGAAAAGAAATGATGAGAAAAAATAAAAAATCATATATTACTTTAAATTAAAAAAGAAGAAAACAAAAATTTAATGGAAGAAACAGCTCTTGATGTTGTTGGTTTTATAAATTTAATTAGTCAATTTATTGAGTTTGTTCAATCGATTCGCCAATCATAACCACTCAAAAGAGAGTTAATAAAATTAATAGAAATGGTAATAAAGAAAAATATTATTCTGAGATGCTTGAAGAGTCAATACTATTATTAAAAACATTAAATACTGAAAGTATAGGTGAAGTTTTAAAATTATGTAAGACAGAATATTTGGTTTGATAGTATTAATTATAAAAAAAGTATAAACTTAGATATAGACATATAGAACATTTCTTCAACAACAACTCATTAAAATGAAAGAAGCATATTTGAAGAAAGATATTCAAATAAACTCTTTAATTAATGAGCTCCAACAAAAAACACAGAAATTTACTTCTATTCTTCAGAGATGTAATAGTTCAATAATGACAGAAGAAGTTGGATTATTTCCTGATGACGTTGCAAAATTACGTGATCAAATATTAGTTGATCTAGAAAGTGTTGATTAATTAATATTTACTTTCAAATGAATTAGGTTTAATGAACACAGATTAATAATTAACAAAAAACATAAAGAATAGATAATTAAGTGTTAATATAAATATTTTCTATTGTTCATTGTTCAGTGGAGATTAATTAATCCATTTCTTTTAAAAGTGTTTATTCATCATTTATAGTTATTCTTTGATTTTAGTTGTTGAACTATGAGAATTTCATTTTCTCATTTATTTATTGTTGAATAGAATATTTTAAACATCTATTACTTAAATATTCATTATTTAATTTCTATTGATTTTAATGAGTATTAAATTTCTTCTTTATTTTGTTATTTTAAGGAGAGTATATAATTACCACTGTATTACTATGGGCCAATATCCTTTTTAGTATCAACCACCACACCCTTTTTCTTTATTAATCTTATATCATCAATTATACTTGTATCATAACAAGTAATAATAACATCTTTATAAATAACCATTCGTTTATTGTCAATGATATCACATCATTGTAATTAATAAACACTGCTATTCTTGCAGATTGAGTAAGACGTTTTTCAACTAAATACAATATCATAACCAGTCCATAACTGGGGGATTTGAAGGATGGTAATATTTTAGGGAATTGTATGGTGTCTTTGATGTACTACTTTCGAACCAATTAATAATTAACAAAAAAAACAAAAAAAGAAATAGATTAGAGGTGGTCAGACTCAGTTACTTCTTCAGAGTTTTGAACAGTTTTAAAAGCAGACATAAATGCGACGTTTTGTTTTTTTCTTTGAAAAAGGATTTCATCACTTTGGTAAGTGTCAATTAGTCGTTGACGGTCTTTCAACATTTTCATAGCACCTGTATAATTTTTGTTTTTAAGATAGTTGTCAAATTCATTTTTGTTTAAATTCATTAAAATAAAAATGAAGTAAAAAGAGATCATTAATCAGAAAAAAATAAATTAATAAAAGGAAAACTAAAAAAAATTAAAAGAAAGAATGAGTGATAGAAAAGGACAATCAAAATATTATTCACCTGATTTTGATCCTGAAGAACTTGAAAAATTTAATGAAAAATTAAGAAAACAAAGAAAAGGAAAAGGGCCTAAATTACTTGATGTTCGTATGATGTTGCCAATGTCAGTAAGATGTCAAGCATGTGGAGAATATATGTACAAAGGAAAAAAATTTAATTCAAAAAAAGAAACAGTTGAAGGAGAGACATATTGTGGAATAAAGATATATCGACTATATTTTAAATGTACAAGATGTAAAACACTCTTTACAATTAAAACAGATCCAAAAAATTCTGATTATATTTGTGAAAGAAATGTTACAAAAAATGCTGAACCAAGAAAAGAAGAATTAAAACATTTAGAAGAAGAAAAAGAAAAAAGAAAAGAAGAAGAAGATGATGACATTATTAAAAAATTAGAAAATCAAAGTAAAGATACTATTAATGAATTACATCAGTTAGAATTATTAGAAGATATGAAATTAACTCAAAAAAGAAATGAAAAAATTACTGTAGATGAATTACTTAAAATAAAAAAAAGTATTAAAAATCAAAATAATAATTCTAAAGAAGATATTCAAATTAATGAAATTGAAAATGAATTAAATGATTGGAAATTAAAAAAATATTTAAATGAATCTTCTTTTAAAGAAGAAGAGGATAAAAAAGAATTTATTAAAAAATCGGAAAAGAAAAAGAAATTAAGTTTTTTATAACAAAAAAAGAATAATAGAAGAAAAGGTAAATATTATAAATTCTTTATTGTTAATATCCATGACTTTCAAATTCTAGTACTATTTGTTCCATCGTTATTCTTTCTTTAGGATTTTGGTTCCATCCTAAATTAATTAATTCCCAAAACCATTCTTTCATTGTTAATATTTTTGGTCTTCTTTTTCCATTTGCAATGAATGATGCAATATTCCAGATATATGGAAATTCTTTTTCAGGATAAACATCTCCCCAAATATAACTTTCATACATTACAACAGCAAATGAAAATACATCAATTTTTTCATCATATCTTTTATTGTTTAAAAGGTCTGGTGCCATATAAATGGGGGTTCCAATTCCTTTTGTAAATGTCATATTACTTTGTGCTAATGTAATACTTCTTGATGATCCAAAATCAGTTAATTTAGCTCTAACTGGAGCCTCAAGAGTTAAATCAAATAATAAAATATTATCACTTTTTACATCTCGATGAATGATATGATTATTATGAAGATACATTAATCCTTTTGCACAATCACAAAGAATCTTTGCTCTTAATGCAAATGAAAATTTTTCAATTGGTTCATTATCTATCATACTTTTTAAACTTTTATATGGTGCAAATTCCATTACAATGGTTAGTCTTTTTGGATTAAAAACTGCTCCATAGAAATAGACTATTTGTGGACATCTAAATTTATCTAATAATTCAACTTCTTTATTAAATTCTGAAATACTTTCATCGGTTGTTGAAATTTTTAATCTTTTAATTGCTACCATATGACCTCTAAACATCCCTTTAAATACTGAACCAAATGTTCCTTCTCCAATTTGTTTTTGTTCAATAATTTCATCTGGATCTAATGAACAATCCAACTGAGTAAATAAATGAAGCTTAATTGGAATTACTATATCTGAATGTTTTCTTTTAACAACAATTCCAAGTGTTTGTGTAATACAACAACATACTAATGGTTTTATTAATACTGTAAATACAACTGCTTTCCTTGGAGGGATATCGGCACATTCAGGTTTATGGCTAAAAGAACATTTTATGTCATCTATTGGAGTAGCAAGATGAATTTCATAAGTTTTATATCTATTAAAATTACCAACAATAATATTAATTGAACTTGTACTACCAACTTCTAATTCACTATCACTTGTAATGGTATTATAATTACAATGAATATCTTTATGATATTGGTTATCATAAAATTCAACAGAAAATGTTGATATTGGTTGTGGAATAACACCTTGTTTCTTATTAAAATAATGAATAAAATGAAGGTGTATGAAATAATAAACTAACAAACCTGAAATAATAATAATCATTAATATACATATTAATGGAATTCCAATAATTAAACCATAATTTAAAGAACTAATACATGTCTCTCCATTTGAATCTGGTTTATTCATTCCTTTACATTTTGAACACTTAGAATTTATTGACTCAATACAATTGTCAATTAATTTATAATAAATACAATTTAATCCATTTTGTAATACATATTCATT